AGAGGAGATAAACCACATCCATTGCAAACGGCAATTCAGTCCTCTCAATTTCCCTTCGAGTTTGTCATAAGGAACATCCCAAATGACTTAAGGAAGAAAAAGCGGATGTGTTTGGATCCTAGCCATCTTGAAGCTGAGTTTTTCAAATAAATCTAAAAGGAGCGAGGCACCCAATCCTAGGAAATCCCATGGGAGCTGCAGGACTAATCTTCCTAGGCCTTTCAGCGATTAAAACACATTGATAAAACATGCTTGCACACTGCTGTCAGGCTGCAATTTGTTTGTGGCGTTACAAGCTTAGGACACTAACGGGGAAGCAGCTTTTTAAAAGAAAAAAGTTGAAATGAACAATGGCTCCCACCTGCTTTGGGAAAAAATGAAAGGCCACCCACTAAGAGCATGTCCACGAGAGCAGCCCTCTCTGCTTCCTTGTGGAGAAAACTTTATATGAATGCTATAATTTTGCTGAGAAGAGAACAGCTGAGCTGAACCAGACCAACCCCTACAAATCTTTGAAGTCTAGAAAGATTATTCATCCCTTTTTCCACTGTGCAGCTCCAGTTGCTTAAGTCTGCCAATGAAAAATGTCCCCTTAGGCTTCCACAGTGCGAAAATACCCTTGTATTACTTCCATAGCTGCCAATTTTGCATGTGCAGCCATTGATTCTGGGGGCCAAATACAAGATGCACAGGCAGGAAGGACAGCAGTGGAAAGGTCACTCAAGAGACCTGGCTTGAATTCCAGCTCAGATACAGACATCCTGCATGACCTTAGGCAAGTCACATAATCTGCACCATGCCTCAGTTTCCCGTATGTAAAATGGGGTTAATACTTCCCTCTCTCACAAAGGTGTTTTAAATCTATTAGCGATTTTGAGGTGCTCAGATCCTACAGTAAGGGTGGCTATAAATTAAAGTCATCACATTTGAAACTGAAGAGGAAATAGCACTTTGATGCCAATAAAAGTATTGCTGAGGTCAAAAATTTAACTTAATTCGGCCAAGATCTAATTATCTTCATGCAAGATTAGAACATCAACAACCGCCAGAGGGTATGGAAAAAAGATCAAATTAAAAACAAGTTAGCAGGGTGCAAGCATATATCATGGAACAACTGCACAGTACAGAAGAGAGATATAGAAGCAACTTGGCCCGCTTCATCCAAGAGTAAGTTGCCCCACTTACCACAGCATAATTGCAGACATGGAGGCAGTTGCCCCACTGTCCCACAGGCAGTCCCTGCCTGGTATTTATGCACTTCAATTTGGCTGTTTTTCCATACCCTCAGATACCACTACAGATATACAAGCTATAGACATTTAAAATTTCATACAATAAGCCACCAACGGCTAGGAAGAAACTTCCCATGGTCAAGTTATTCCACAGTTGTTTCTTGCACGGGGTGACCATCTGTCCCAGGCAAACCTGAATACTCCCAGCTTCCAGTCTGGTCCTGGATGGCTGGTCAAAAGTCCTGGAGCAGAGTCTGGCGGGGACACGGTGTGGCATGGTACACCAGGCAGGCGCTGCTGCTGCTGGGCAGGAGCAAGGCGGGTGGACTGATCCCACATTATACCAGGCCGCTTTGAGGATCTATTTTAGACAACTACATATTTTGTAGAAGGACCTGGCATCTTGCCCCAATTGAGGCTTTAATGGGAAACGACATGACTGGGGCCCAAGGCTACATGCCTCCCAACCTGCACAACAATGACAGATTGTAGCAAAGAGGCTGAAGAGCTTTTTCCAATGCCTACTAACGTTATTTTCTGATGCTGACATGTTTCCCTTCTTTCTGCCAGATAAGGATCATTATTTCTGTATGTTACTCTCATAGTTCATAAAGAGCTCTGGACACCTGGGTTATATTTCCAGCTCTTTTCTTCACCCACTGCATGGCCCAGGGGCAAATCACTCAGTGGGAGATGTTCAAAGGGCACTTAGGCATGCAACTCCTATTCAAAGCCACTAGCATTTGACCCTGACTTTTATCAAGTCTTTAAAAACCTCTTCCTCATCCAGAAGTAATGGATCTAACACTATTTAGCTACCCTAAAAGGGTGTGCTGTCTATTTGAGATGCATATATGGCCCTTATCATAGCACCCAAGCACTACACAAATCCTAAATGCATTTATGTTCATAATACCCCTGTAAGATTTTTTTTAAATGGTATTATCCCCTTTTCACAAGTGGGGACTGAGGTCCAGAGAAACTAAGCGACTTGCCCAAAGCTATACAGAAATCTGTGGCTGTGTGAAAACCTGCATACAGGCCTTCCAAGCTCTGGGCTAGTACTCTTCCCATTAGACAATCCTCCCTCCACTGTAAGTGTTAATAAGTAACAAAAAATGCCAAGTAAAAAAAAAAAAAAGAAGCAGCTGATTCCTTACCTGTGTTACCAAGAGCCCTCAGGCAAACATGACTAAAAGAGTGTTACACCTGCAATCTTGTCACACATTACCTTGGTCAATAAAACTAAGATTAACAACAAAGAGCAGAACTTACCCTTGTAGAGCCCTTGTCACCCTGAGATCTCTCAATATTTTGTAGAAAGGCAATGTTATCCTGCCCTGGCACAGGCAGGGGAAACCAAGGAACACAGGAGAGGAGAGACTGGCCCCAGTGGGCTACTGGCAGAACTGGGAACAGAGCCCCGTGTCCTGGCCATACACCACACAAGTGAAACGCAGCTAATTGATATTTCCAAGGAAAGGTTAGACAGCTGGTATGCTCCGACTGCTGCCCATTACACTGGCCAGTGTCACCTAACTGTTACCTGGATCCCTTTTGGATCATTTGTGGGATCCCCACATATTTCTCATCTCTCACTTCAAATGTATGCTCTGCAGGAAAGAGCTTTTCTTCCTTGTCTCACCTTTGTGCAGCACCTAGCACGTTTGGGGCCCTTCGTTACTACCGCAGTCTAAACTAATAACAGTAATGGTCAGAATCACTTTCTGGTTCCCAAGCAAACTCAGTGCTGTTAAGTCCGAGTTGCCAGCATAGCAGGGAAGGGTTTAAACCAGACAGAAGTGTGAAGCCAGTAACTTTTCACAGGCCATGAAGGATCCAGGCCCCAAGCAAGGTCTATACCCTGAACATAACATTACATGCTAAATATGACCTGCCCCTGGTTTCTGTTCCCCTTCTCACTCACTCACATGCTCCTGTGGTTCATGACTACACCAAGAGATGAGTGCTAGTTTGCCATCGCAGTTGATCCACATGGAGGGTGAGATGCTGCCATTCCCACTGCTGTCTTGCAGTTAGACAGCTTCTGTAGTTGTCAGGCTGACACCGTTATCCAGCTAAATTATTTTAAGAACACTTTCAGTAGAAAAAGGAGAAGGATTATGAGTTCTCTTACAGAGGAAGGATAATCCTCCCTCCACTGGTTCAATTCCTTGCTCTGCCACAGCTTTCCTATCTGGACTTGGACAGGTCACGCATACCCAAATCTTCAAAGGTGTTTATGAACCTCAATCCTGCTGAAAAGGACTTAGGCATCCAATGCCTTTAAAAATGCCTGGGCCTTCAATTTTGCTGTACCTTAGCTCCTCAGCTGTAAAATAAGTGTAATGGGATGGCCTACCCTCAAACACTGGGAGGAAGATGCTGTACTTCCAAGGCTGTGAGATGCTCAGATGCTATGCACATGAGAGCCATATAAGTCCCTAGAAGAGAAAATGTGTTCATCAGCCAGTAGTTGATCCTCAACCCATAAGATCATAGAGGGTGCTGACTTCATCCATATATTTGGCTGCAGAATACGTTTCCCCTTGCTACAGAAATTGGTGTTGAGAGGCCATAGCTTTCTACTGAAATGAAATATGTGCTCTGGTGTGCACTGCCTAGCACAGACAAGCCTACGCATCAAAAGCTGCTCATCTCACATAAGAGACTGCAGGATGTCCCATAACAATTCACAGAGCATCAGCTGAACTCAATTCAATTTCCCCTTTGGTCTTCATCTGAACGATGACAACATGAGCGCTCCACTTCTAGGATCTCAGGCCCAGCTACCTCAAAACAAGTCCCATCTAGACCAGCTAAGCCTTCTGCATAACATTACTCAGCCTCCCCTTTATTCTGAGACTGTTTCACTTCCCGGTTCCCTCTCATGCCAGAGCAAACAGTGCGTGCCATCTAAAAAGAAAAAAAAAAAAAATCTAGATTTTGTAAATACCTAATTATGTCAAGCAAAACGTGAGACCCAATTCCGCCCCGCCTCAGCTTCAGTTGCCCAAAAAGTTAGAAGCCTAACTGCATCCCTAGGCTCCTCACAAGGAAGCCTCGCTTTCAAAAGTGCAGAGGGCGTGCAACTGGCAGTGACTTTGTGCTGCAGCTGTGTGACCTACCTGTAACTTCCACGAGGACTACAATATTCAGCCCAAAATGCACTGTGAAAAGTGAACCCCAGGCAACTTATACTGTACCAGGCACTCAGGAATAGCAAGGCCCATCAGAAATAACATTGCACAAACACCCACGATGATGAGAACGTTGTTTCCCCTGCACAACGATGGCCTCTGAGGCACAGAAAGGATGAGGGGCTGATCCTACAGCTGTGGAAACTTACAGCAAAATTTTCACAGATTTCAATGGGAGCAAGGCCCAGGCAAATTCCAGAGCCTCGATGTTACATCAGCGTGGCCATGATCCTGTCCCCATTGAAGGCCATGACATACTAACTTGAAGGCTGCAGGCTCTACCCGTATCACAGCTGGAAACAGAGTCCCAGACTCTTGTCTTCTGTCCCAGAGGAAAACTGCTCCCCAGAGCAAGGCATAGCACCTCGGAGCTCTCCCTCCCAGCCCCCAGCTCTAATCAGCAGGTTACATACACACAGAAGTAAATCCCCCTGCATCTCCCACAGTTCAAATTCCCTGCTTTAGATGTAGTATTTTTGGGGGGAAGAAAAAAGAAAAGAAACACACTCAAATGAAGCCTCCTCCCAACTCCCCATGAAACAAAACACATTTAAAAATAATGTCTTACTGATCATGGTGGTGCCTCCAGCCAGGGAAGCTTTGGTTCCTTGGAAGAAGTCATCAGCAGAGGTCATTCCCTGCTCTGGCATCTGGAAGCGGGTATGGACATCTATTCCCCCGGGGATGACCATCCTTCCATGGGCTTCAATAGTTTTCACTCCACCGGGCACAATCAGATTCTCCCCTATTTGCCTGGGTAAACAAGGTTTCAATCAGCAAGTCAGTCACAAGTGCTGTGCTATGCCAATATCATCATCAACAGGTCTCGATGAACTACCTGTCGTACCACCATCACATAACAGAACAAAAGCCATGCAACAGCCTGAATAATACTGCTGGGTAGCTGTCCTTCAGTGCATCGCATCCTGCTTTTCTGCCCAATTAAAGTCCCATTGAAGGCAGTGGGAATCTGGCAGCTCACTGCAGGGGGATCTGAACATGGCAACGCCACAGTTCATTCTGGGATGTAACAATGGCTTGGATTTTAACCTCATCTTGGAAAGGGCAGCAAGAATTTCTGTAAGGATTGCAACCTACTTGGTTATGCACTAAAACGTATGTACAGCAAGCGCAAAAATAAACCTGCACATATGCTTGTTACTAAATTCCTGAGGAGACCCAAAGGCCTCTCAGTCTGGCTATTAAAAGGGTTTATTTTTAAACGTACAACTGTAGATGGCACATTACAATTAATTAGGTGTCTTTCACTGGCTCCTCCAACCTGTTATTTTGATTAAGAAAGCAGATGTTCTGAGTGTAGCCAGAAACACAACATTCCTCATTGGTAACCTTTGGCCAGTTTATTTTTTCCTATGCATGTGATTCCAGAGAGCTCTGTAAAACAGTTCACTTGCCAGAACTGCATGTTTAAAGACCAAAAAACACAAAGGTGTGCTTGAGAGGAGCCCTCTCAGTCAGTGAGAGTCTTTCCATTGACTCCAATGGCTTTTAGACTGGGCCCCAGGCCAATGCACTATACCCTCAATTCAGAAGGTCTTGGGATGCAATTCAGCCTGGTATCCAACACGTGCCTGCCTTTAGGCACGAGGCATACTGCACGTGCTTAAAGATATGCATATGTTCAATTACCTTCCTTCAATGACTATGTTATAAATAGAGAATTTCATGCTTTATTTATTCAAATATTTAGTTTTCGGCATTTCTCCCTGATCTACCAGGACACGCATTAAATATTCGTTTTTCTTTGCTCCTCAAGGCTGAACGATCCCTCGTCTTTCTGCAAAGCAGGACTTAAACATTTCTGTTTGCAATCACACCACAAAAATCAAGCGGCACTTACTTTATCAACCCATCTTCCATGTAAATATCTGCATAGAAAGACTGGTCATCATTAACTATTTTACCACCCTTGATCAAAAGACGATCACTCTGAAACAGAGAACCATGTAACAATATGTAAGTATTCTGCAAGAAAACTGACAGCTTGTGGCATCATTTTGAAGATGAAAGAGTAAGGAAAGCAGCCTCTGTATTATACAATATGTATGTCACAAAACAAGTCAATGAATGTACTTTTAGCTGTAAAGATAAAACATTTTGTGTGACGGTCCTTTCATCATGCTACAGATCCAAGACACCAATAAAGTATGTTATCTACTAAAAAGGAGTTTGGTTTCATAAGGCTTGGTTGTTTTAACTGTACCTGCAACCAGTTAAAGCCTCATCCTTCACCATTACCTATTTAAACATTATTTTAAAGGACAGACAGCAGTTTTCATCCACATCCTTTTTAACCTCCTTGTAGGCAAAATTTCCTAAATACCCACACACTGAAGTTGCTACTTGGCTAACTATGAGTCAATTGCTGTCAGGGAAGTTGACCAAAAGTCTGTTACCATGGGTTACACAACACAAACAAGCTCATTTAATCCATCTATAGCAAGGATTCAATTTAGTGGATGCCCTTACCATGTTTCTATATAGCTACTGCATAATCAAATGAAAATAAGCATATATTAGCAAATGAAGTTCAAGAGAAGAATTTGAGGCATCATATTATTAAATTTCCCTCAAATTACAATGTAATTTGGTAGCAACAGAAAGGTAATTATAAAAAAGGCAGTTATCTTACATTGCTTTTTGTATATTAGCTTAGGTCACATAACGCCTTAGCAGCTATTTTAAGGTTTGGAAAAAAAAAAAAAATGCATCTTTTTTGAGATTTATTCACAACACCAAAAACGTACTCTAAAGAGCTCGGAGTAAGAAGGGAAGTGTAATATTAACATTATGTTAATCCATTTCCCCCAAAAATGGAAGTGTGCAGGTAATTAATTCTAAGGGCACTTGCATTATTGTAGTCAGAATTCGACTGTCTTGCGAGACGGACAGACGCTTGCTACTATTAACCTTTACAGGGTACCGCTCACCTCCTAGACATGTGTTGTGACATAGCTCTTTATGCTATTCCCATTTTCTCTGTATGAAAACAACGCCATTTCATAACCCCAAGGCCTAACAGTACTGGCCTTATGTGAAATCTCAAGGCTTTCCAAAGCCGATTCCAAGAAAGGTACTCTGTGACTTTTACACGTGCCTGTATGAACATTAAATTTAAACTGATAACAACAGACACAGGCTATTTATCAGGATCACCGCTGCACTGCACTCAGGCCTGTACGGACAGTCAGTAGGAAACAGCCCCTCCCCAAAGGAGATAACATCCAAATTTAAGCTAAATCAACCAGATTCTCAACTGAAATAAGGCAGCATAGCTCTTGTGGAGTAAAAGGGGCTACAAAGATTTGCACCTGCTGAAGATGTGGCTCAAGGCCCTTACTCTATTTGATCTATTAATCACTTAAAAATCCTAAGAGATGTTATTTTCTGGTCCTCCCTTTAGGCAAAGGGCAACAGAGAATTTGGCTCGAGGAAAGAGATCAAAAAAAAAAATCAAGATTTTAAACTTAAGACCTGCTGTGACAATAAGGTTTAATGAGCTGACCCGGGGCTCAAAAAGCCTGTTTGCCTTTTGGCGCCAGACACTACAGCAACTTATACTACATGCTCACCATTTCTAGAATCACCGCAGTGTTTATCCCCACCCAGCACATCCTCTGCATGCCATTAAAGGGCCCGCTGCCGTTGACATCAATGGGGGTTTTGCCACTGATGTCAAGGAGAGGAGGGGAAAACCCTAAATGCACTGAGCACCACTTAGGAAAGAATATACTAGCACCAACAAAAACAGGGCCTTGGACATTTTTATGCTGCTGTAAAAAGCTACTGCCAATAAACACCTCTCCTTCTGAAGCTCATCCAAAGCACACAATTAGTGGGAGTTTTTCCATTTGTTCCAACGGTCCTTCGGATCAGGCAGTGCATGCAGTCTACACGTAGCCGGGAAGGATGCTGTACTGCATTTATACCCGAGTACCACGCTGACACGTAAAACATTTCTCTACCTGTGAAGCCGAAATCCGACCTCTTATGAGAGCGAGATAACTCTGGATTTATACCCGAGTAAACTAGACCAGTACCCAGCTCCTCTTCTAGTCTTTGTCTTGTAAAGGGTATTCTAGTCACCCCAACACAATTCATAATCAGAGTTCATTCACAGGAAAAATGCACTGGATTACTGCTGGGCCACAGCAATGGTCAGTCCAGGAGCAATGTCCATCTGTATGCACCATCTAGACAAGCCCTTCAGATACTGGACTCTTAGTGAGAGGTCACTGATTTTGTCTGCAAGCCAGAAGTCCCATCTATCATACTCCAATCTGCAACGTGCTTCGGGCTGCACAAATGCTTTTTGAACAGTTGTCCAAATCAAATATCTCCAACCCCAGTTCCACCCTTAAAATCACCCGTCCAGTACCACAGACCTCCCATTTTTCCACCCTTAGCACTCAGGACCAGAATTCAGATGGGCGTGTCCTCAGATCTAAGAGAGGAACGATGTTACGCTGATAATGAGAACTCCTCAACCTTTACGTCAAAAAATATCTAACGCTTATTTTTTTGTAAGGGAACAGCCTTGCTTCTGCAGCAGAAAGTTCATATTGTTGAACTGTGATACCGGTGCTGGGATCAGTTTCCAGAATAATGAAATAACACGGCCTTTTACGTAACCGTTCCTTCCCTTTTCCCTCAAGGTTTCATCTATGAGTGGACTAAATTGCATTGCAAGAATATTCCTGAGGACAAGAAATTCTATTCCAGCCATGAAGCGAACGTTAATAGCGCGGGGAGTTTCTCCGGCACCAGCGCAGAAAACACAGTCCCTTTCTAATCATTGTTTTCACTGCACCAGGGAGGAGGATGGAAGATGAAAAGAACGAGCCCCATCTGCTCATCTCATCCAAGCAGCGCCATTACCTCCTGGAGAAACAGCACAAGCGCTGTCCCCAGCTCCTCACAATCACAGCCCTCTTTCTTTGGGAAAAGCAGGGGGGAAAGCTGCTTCCATCACAACAGCAAAATACAAAAAGCCTCAGAGCCAAGCCAAAACCTCCCCCGTCCCCCCACCCAAAACCAGGAAGGTGGGAGACACTCCAAACTGCACCGCCAGGCAGATATTTCTGTTCCTGACCCATATTTTCAAACTTGACTGCAGACTGTTTTGTTCTGATTTTAAACCTCTCCGTCACAGCCCCTCTCAAAGCCTATCTTCTCCCACTGCCCCCCACCCTACCCCTGCTGTCATTCTGCGTCCAGGATCAACCCCCCACCCCCTTTTCTCTCTATTCCCAGCAGAAAGGATTGCAACAAACACGACACGGATACATTTTTCCACCCATCTATTTTTCCCAGCGCTTAGGAAGCAGCCCCATCCAGATCATGCAGTTGGAAGACAGCTTCCTCAGCCCTTTATTCCAACCCTGCATATTCAATCTGCCATCCATTTGCTGGGCTCCAAGCAAGCTCAGGGCAGCAGCAGCAGCATCCCTGCCTTATGGCAATGCAAGGCTAGATCCGGTTTCGACTTTTATTAACTACGGCAACTTCCAAAACCCCACTGTTCGCCCCATCCCACCCTTTCCCCCCAGGCTGCAATCCCAGGAAGCCTTTGCATCAGCCCCTGATCTGATTACCTTGCTACAAAACCCTGCAAGCTTCCCCCAAGCACACAAAGGGCTTAATCCCCACATCTGCTCCCTCCTCCCCCACACAGCTAAACTCACCGTGATCCGTGGGATATTTTTCTTCCCCTGATAAGACATCTCGGGAAACAGCCCCCCAACAATCAAAACTGGGGTCGGTTTGTTCGTTCTTTCCCCCCCCCCTCCTAGTGGCGAATAGTTTTATTACTGAAAAATAAAAAGGAGAAGAATTGCGGCTCCAAGCAGGAGGGAGCTCCTGGCTCTGCGGGCTGGAAGAGTGCACTCGAGGAGGCTCGCCCTGCCCTTCGCAACCCGCAGGAACGGGGAGAAGCAGCAACCCGCGAGTCTCCCTTTCTTCCCTCCGCTCCCAGCCCAGCCCAGCCCAGCCCAGCCCGACACCGCGGGGCGGGATCCTCCAGCAATAAAAGCCTGAGCACAAGGAGGCCGCCGCCGCGCATGCGCCCCCTGCCACGCCCTTTCCTCTGCCCTGCTTGGCGCTGGATTGGCCGAGATCCTAATGCTATGCAAATGCGCGCGGCCGCCGTGCAATGGGAGGGGAGGAACGAGGGACCATGCAAAGTGGCGCAATGAAGGCGCCGGGCGGGGGCGGGACGCACCGCGCGGCCCCCCCGCAGCCGC